CAGACGGACGGACAGGGCAAAACTACATACCCCCGAATCTTCGATACGGGGGCATAAAAATGCGAATAAAGCGTTCGATTAATTTATCTTATCAAATAAATTAAAGAATTGAGAACACTTAAACTGGTTGCAAATTTTAAATCTAGTAGGAAAATTCTATGAAATATTTTGTTTATAAAACAAGTAGAATCAACAGTTAACACATTAATCACAGATTGTGTTTGCCCGCACATGATTAAAATCATGAAATTGCCCAAAAATGTACGATACATGGGAGAATTATTTGAAATCGCAAAGATATAGTCAGATAAGAAACAAACACACTCAATTTTGTAATTCATATTCGATTATCTTGTGATTTATTTTTGAAATTGTGTATACTTCATAATTATATTTAAAAAATCCCTGTGATTCATATTTAATTATGCGAAAAGTTCATATTCGAAATCTTGTTACTGTGTATTTTTAGGGATGTCAAAATATTTATTTTCCTTAGTCGACTATTCGATAACATTATTCGAACGATAGTCGAATATTCGGAGCATTTTCTTAAAATAAAATTTTAATATTTCAAACCTCACTTGTAAATGCAGGAGGTATTTATAACAAAAAAAACCTTTTTACCTCATATATACAAAAAAGTAACATCAATTGCCTCTGTTGCACATAGATGTTTGCAGGCACCTAACGTGTGGGCAGTGTGTTTATATGAAATAATTTTAGACTGTAAATTATTCATATATCAGTTTTTATTTTAGCAAGCATAAAAAAATTGCCAGCATGATATTTTAAAGTTTACAAAAATAAATGGAGGGGTGGGGGGTTAATACACTATCTACGCCTTACCCTTTGAATATATGTATTGCTAATAAAATTAATTTGGAAAGATATACATATCACTACTTCAAATAAAACGTTTTATCATAATTATCAATTTATCTTTCATGGAATTTTATTCAATTATTCTCCATTGCTAAAGCAAATACGCCGGGACAGTCTATGTGTTTGTTCATCACAAAAATTTGAACATTGGTCATAATTTTTTGTTTAGTTTATCAATTTCAAGAAATATTCACCTAGAAAATATATAATAATTTTGAGAAGATCGGACTCTCATATTCCACATATGAATTACGAATTACAAAATCTTTCTGAATTTATTTTTTTTATCTTATGACCTTGTCAGTGAAATTTGATATACTTATAAAAAAAATAACCCTGACCTAAGCTTAGTATGGAATGAGATATATGTTTTCATAATTGACCTGTGCAATACCCGTGACAAAACTATAACAAGTCACTGGAATGTATATAGCCTAAGATCTTTGACCTTGGCATTTGACTTTCTTTTTACAAAACTTTTAATCCTGGCCAAAGCTTTGCACCTGATGAGACAGGACTTTAATATTTTCTTGTACATGAACATAGCTGTAACAAGACCTTCCAAATATACTTTGATTTTTAACCTCATAAACTTGACATTGAAGTTTGATCGACTTTCAAATCATAACTCGATCCTTGGTCCTAAGCTTTTAAACAGAACATCCCACTTTAAAAATATATAATAATTTTAAATATGATGAGCCGCCACGACAGTCACAATATGCCATAGACGATTGCATCCCAACCAAAAAGAAAAAAAAAAAAACAACAAAAAACGATTAAAGACATTCCATATCATTTCCATGCAGTGAAAATACACTGGGTCTCCTTCTTGACAACATGACAATTAGGGTTTGTAGAACACAAATTTTGGCACTATTATCCTACTGTTCTACTGTCATGAACATAGAAGAAATTTGAACTTTGTGTTGGTTGCTCTTCTTTTATGATAATTTTTAAAATTTCACACTTTATTGATTAATTATGTAGATATGTATATCTTCACATTTTTTCTGGAACAAGTAAACAACATAATGGAATTTTTAGATTTCTCTCGATTTATGCAATAGAGGAATCAGGATACATTGGCATTTACAATGTAAAGATAGTTTCACACAATTATAAATCTTTGTCCATTGTTATAAGTTTCTATATCCTTTGCTTCCTCCTTGACAGGCTTACACTACAAAATAAAAAGTAAATAAGATCAATATAACATTAGAGTCAATGCATCTTAATCACAATAAAATCATTATAGTTCATTAAACAACTCATACGTTCTCCACAAGATGTTACGTTTATGAAGACACCCTAAAAAGTAATTGGATTCATTTTCATAATGCAAACTATGTTGAAGGTCACCCTACTAAAAAGATGGGAACTAGACCCTGCACGAGGGAAGAAAAAACCGTGATGAAGGGTATATAGACCCTGGTGATTGGTATACAGAACCTGGTGATAGATAAACTGACCCGAGTGATGGGTCAAGAGACCCTGGTGATTGGTATACAGTACCTGGTGCTAGATAAACTGACCCTGGTAATGGGTCAAAAGACCCTGGTGATAGGTATACAGACCCTAGTGATGGGTATACAGACCTTGGTGATAGATAATACAGACCCTGGTGATGGGTATATAGACTCTTGTGATGGGCATACACACCCTTGTGATAGGTATACGGACCCTTGTGATAGATATATAGACCCTGGTGATAGATAATACAGACCCTGGTGATTGGTATACAGACCCTGGTGATGGGTATACAGACCTTGGTGATAGGTATACAGATCCTGGTGATGGGTATACAGACCTTGGTGATAGATAATACAGACCCTGGTGATGGGCATACACACCCTGGTGATAGGTATACAGACCCTGGTGATAGGTACATAGACCCTGGTGATAAGTATACAGACCCTGGTGATTGGTATACAGACCTTGGTGATAGGTTTATAGACCCTGGTGATGGGTATACAGACCCTGGTGATGGGTACATAGACCCTGGTGATAAGTATACAAACCCTGGTGATAGGTATACAGACCCTGGTGATAGATAATACAGACCCTGGTGATGGGTATACAGACCCTGGTGATGGGTATACAGACCTTGGTGATAGGTATACAGATCCTGGTGATGGGTATACAGACCTTGGTGATAGATAATACAGACCCTGGTGATGGGTATATAGACTCTGGTGATGGGCATACACACCCTGGTGATGGGTATACAGACCCTGGTGATAGGTATACAGACCCTGGTGATGGGTATACAGACCTTGGTGATAGATAATACAGACCCTGGTGATGGGTATATATACTCTTGTGATGGGCATACACACCCTTGTGATAGGTATACAGACCCTTGTGATAGATATATAGACCCTGGTGATAGATAATACAGACCCTGGTGATTGGTATACAGACCCTGGTGATGGGTATACAGACCTTGGTGATAGGTTTATAGACCCTGGTGATTGGTATACAGACCTTGGTGATAGGTTTATAGACCCTGGTGATGGGTATACAGACCCTGGTGATGGGTACATAGACCCTGGTGATAGATAATACAGACCCTGGTGATGGGTATACAGACCCTGGTGACGGGTATACAGACCCTGGTGATAGGTATACAGACCCTGGTGATGGGTATACAGACCTTGGTGATAGATAATACAGACCCTGGTGATGGGTATATAGACTCTGGTGATGGGCATACACACCCTTGTGATAGGTATACAGACCCTGGTGATAGGTATACAGACCCTGGTGATGGGTATACAGACCTTGGTGATAGATAATACAGACCCTGGTGATGGGTATATAGACTCTTGTGATGGGCATACACACCCTTGTGATAGGTATACAGACCCTTGTGATAGATATATAGACCCTGGTGATAGATAATACAGACCCTGGTGATTGGTATACAGACCCTGGTGATGGTTATACAGACCCTGGTGATGGGTATATAGACCCTGGTGATAGGTACATAGACCCTGGTGATAAGTATACAGACCCTGGTGATAGGTATACAGACCCTGGTGATAGATAATACAGACCCTGGTGATAGGTATACAGACCCTGGTGATGGGTATACAGACCCTGGTGATAGGTATACAGACCCTGGTGATGGGTATATAGACCCTGGTGATAGGTTTATAGACCCTGGTGATGGGTATACAGACCCTGGTGATGGGTATACAGACCCTGGTGATGGGTATATAGACCCTGGTGATAGGTACATAGACCCTGGTGATAAGTATACAGACCCTGGTGATAGGTATACAGACCCTGGTGATAGGTATACAAACTATGGCAATACATAAACAGACCCTGGTAATAAGTATACAAACCCTGTAAAAATAATTAATTTATAAAAGAAATAAATGATAAATGCATAAAAAATCAATAAATAAATGCAAAAATAAATCAATCAATCAATAAAGAAATAAAAAATAAAGAAATAAATAAAAATACGAATAAATGAATGCATAAATAAATAGATAAATAATAAATAAATAAATAGAATACGAAATAAATGAAGGAATGAATATAATAAATAGATAAACAAACAAATAAATGAACTTCTTAATAAATTAATCAATTACTTAATTATTAGAATAATAAATAAATAAATAAATAAATAAATAAACAAACATGCATACAAATTAATAAATCAATGAATTAATTAATAGATAATTAATTAATGGATGGAATAATTAATAAATGAAGGAAAGAATGTTATAAATGAATTAAAAAAAATACAAATATATATTTTTTAATAAATAAATCAGTTACTTAGTCAATTAATTATAAGAATGATAAATAAATAAATTAAATAAATAAATAAATTAATAATTAAATAAATAAATAAAAACTAACTGTAAAGTTGATTCATTTATTCTTCTGCTTTTTTAAATAAAAGTTGATCGAATTATGCAAAAATTTCTGCATCTGACTATAGTATCATTCCGCATTACTAGTTTCCATTATATATTCCGAATTTCCTCTCTGCTGTTTTCCGATCTCGATGGAAATTTATTTCACGCATGCGCTCTGCCTGGTTATAGAGGCTGGTTACGAGATCCAAAACAGCATACATATTATACCTCCATCAATATGGCTAAGCGATCGGAAGATGAATATGGAGAAAAGGTCAACAGAGCTATTGTTGACACAGGGGTTAAAATGGGTAAGTGAATAGAAGTCTGGTAAGCTTTTCGTATACTTTTACTTTCACAAGGTCGTTTATGGTACATTCAGTAGAGAAAATTCGCGCTACTATTATCTTACACTTTATGATACGTTATCTATGCATGGCCGTATTTTTTTTTTGCTTGTCAGAAAATTTTGGTAGTGCCCCCTCAACTGTCAACTGAAAAAATGTTTGGCTGTACCCCCCCCAAACTGAAATTGCTTCCTACGGGCCTGCTATGTATGGATGTGTGTGTGTATATATATATATATATAGAGAGAGAGAGACTGGATACACAATGGATAATGTCATGGCGAATTCAGGCATACTGATTATTCTTGAAAGTTCTTTAATACTGTTTTATTTACTTAAGTAAATCTTAAAATCTTTCTTTTCAGCAACTGGTTTCTTGGTCGGTGGTATATTTTCCTTAGTTCTTTTCAAGCGTGAGTTAATCTTTCTTTTGTTCATATAAAAACTAATATGTTGATTGTTGAACTTGATGATGCAGTCGTTAGGGTGAGCATAAATACGTGTATCTATTCAGTTTTTATTTTGATCTGCTTCTTCAAACCACACGTGACATTTGGAACGTTTAGACTCTGACGTCACAAGACATTGTATGTTAGTTGCAATCTGAAAATTTTAACAAAGAACATTTTAATCTACTATTTATCCGCAATATCCATTAAATCAAGGTGATTTTACTTTTGGCAAACTTTTGTTGTTAACGTGAGAATGTGGTTTACAGCCAGATGCAGTTCGCAAAGGGTAGTGAGTCCAGAGGATATGTCGAAAATATTCATTTGGAAAGTCTTTGCAAAGTCTGAAGTTTCTCAGGCATTGTCATAAGAGCTAGCAGTGCGAGTGGCACTTTGCACCATCGCTGTGCTCACTATAAAACTGGACTAAAATCAGTTCTCTTTATGAATTGGCTGTGTATTGAGCAAAAAAATTCATTATGATACGATATGATATTCTATAAAGTGATATGCGACATATTGGATTCTTTAACAATTCTATGTAATGCATAAATTATACAAGACTTGAGTGTTTTATAAACCCTTCTGTAGTTCTTGTCTCAAATTCATTACAATGTACACTTCACATTCTTACTTTTATCATCTTTTATTCCAACGTGTTAAAGTACAGTTGTCTTTATGTTATATAATAATTATCAGGGATGTGCTATCTCCTTAATGCCAATTTCATTATTGATCAATTGTCTGCGTGGCGCAGTGGTTAGAGCATCTGCTCTAGAGACCAATATGAGTGAAAAACTCTCAAGAGGGACGTTAAACAACAAACAAATAAACGTTATTGGTCAGTTTTTATTCAAAACAGGTAAATATAATCTTTGATGATTGAAATTCCCAACTTTTTCACAGAATTATAAGTAAAACTGCCTAACTGATACGTAATTGAAAATAATTTTTCGATACAATACATTCTTGAATATCAATACATATAATGTATAATACATCGATACATTTTAATATTTCAAAATATTGATCCAGCCCTACTTTGTGATCAGTTGACAGGTGTTTTTGACACCTTAGTCTTCAATACATTTCATGTACTCTGCTTGGTATAAACCACAGGGACAGTTTCTTAAAAAAAAATGTATATGAAGAAAAGAAAGCATACTTAAACCACCTGCAGTAGGCTTCTAAGTAATAGTTATTGTATATTTATTATGGTGTATCCTGATTTATTTGGACGAAGGGCGGTGACGAGTGCGAAGCACGAGTCTCCGCCCCTTCTTCCAAATAAATCAGGATACACCATAATAAATATTCAATAACTTTCTTGTATCATGGCCAATCAAAACGTCAATAATTGCTATGTCCCAAATTTTGAAGCATGCTTTTTAATTACACCAATAAAAAATATAGTTTTTGTCAGATGACGCATGGATATTCTCTCCTTCCCGCCAGTATTTTTAAATTGCACATTTTATGTGTGTGTTCATGAGAAATGACGTCGGATTGCAGCTCTCCAACTTAATATAAAAATGGATTGTTAATGAAATTTATAAGAAAACCTTTGGATATCAAGGATGAAAAATTCGAAGTTGAAGAAGGGAAATTCAGGTGTTAATCGAAAATCAAGAAAAAAAAGATATCCGTTGATCATTTGACATATTCAATTCGAGAGCTGTAGCATGAACAAAAACGCTGTGTTAATAACTCTTCATCTATGGATGCAGTACAGCTGAACTTTATTCTAGTTGAGCAAAGAATACAGCAATGATGGTATATCCTGCTAAAAGGCTCTATTACAATAGGTGTGATATTTTAAGATATTTATTTGTGGAATTCATGTCAAGAACTTGATTTCTCGATGCGGTGGATCGAATATTTGCAGAATTCCGTAAAAACATTTCGTATTTTGGGATACATGTGCACTGTAATTTATGTGAAAGACCTTTATTTCATTGGCAGAAATTTTGTCTTTGTACATATCAAAGTCCATTTAATTCTGTAGTTCTTCAATATACATGTGTTGAAATCGCCTTGGTGTTCAATAATTTATTTACACGGCACAGTTTTTGCTGGCTCCGCCCATCGGTGTATCTCCAGTTATTGTACACTTGACTTCAAAGGAAAAACACCACAGCCATGATACAATGACCCTTCTTATGCACATATTGCTTTTATTATTCATAAAAATCAAACATGAATCAGGGAGTGAATGTCATTTTGATATGAATATTTATATATAACATGTGTAACAGGAGAGGGAAAAAAATGCAACAGACAATATTTGGATTCCAACCCCGGCCCCCCTGGATCTCTAGTCAGGTGCTCTACTGAGCTATCTGCATGGCCACCAGCGATCGAGCCTGTCTGATCACCATATTCCTCCCTCTTTAAAGGTCTTTGGCCCTGATAGACACTAATGTAGGCTCTTCCCTGGCAGGTCTTTCACCTGTCACTTCCAGGGCATGGCATAGCACCAAATGTAACAGCAGAGAAGAAAAATAAGATGGACTAGACTGGGATTAGAACCCATGTCTCCTGAATCTCCAGTCAGGTGCTCTACCAACTAAGCTATATTACCACTGGCAAATGAACTTGTCTTATTGCCATGCATGTAACAGTCTCACTGAAATGCTATACTGTAGATTCCTTATTTTACGCGAGTACTTAATATCGCGAAATGGCCCTATGACGTCAAATCGTGAAAAAATAATTCACGAATGGATGATTTATCTAGAGATTTTACATATATTAAAGCACCATAAAAATAAAAGCGAGTAATTTTATTTCGCGAGCGGTGCTTCTCGCGTAATTACGCGATAATTTATTCCCTGTGTATATAAAGGAATCTACAGTAATTAATATTTGAACCAGAAAACCTGTGAACTGAAAAAGAGTTGACCAAAACCAAATAGACCATTTTTTTTTGAAAATACATCTTCAACAATATCCCTCCAACTTATAGTCAGATTTCAATATAAATTATAAACAACAACTTTTCTCAGGTAAAGAGGTTAAATATTGGTTTACCATAGTCCCATTTCTACTCTGAGGGTTTTCTTTACTGTGCTTTTGTTAAATCCATTGATATATTTTCAGGAAGAACATGGCCAATCGCATTTGGAGTAGGGACAGGTTTTGGAATGGGATACAGCAATGCAGAAAATGATTTCCAGAACAAAAATGCTGCATTATTAAAAAGACTACAGGTAAATTTATCAATGTGTTTGTGTATTTTGTTTTGAATAGCAGTATTCCAGGATTGAAAGCAATGTCAGCCTACAGCTAAGATTTAAAATGTTTGTTGGTTAGTTCATGGATTTTCAATACCTTCTTAGGGGCTGACATTCAGCTCTTTTCCCAATTAAAAATGGGCTCAATTTTCCTCATTGGTTGGTTAAAATTCCAAAAATTAAAATATGAAACTTTTTTTTTTTTAATTTTGTAAATGCTACAGGCCAACATAGGGGCCACTGATGCAAAATACAGAAGTAATCATGAGGCTTAAAACTTGGCCAGCTTTTAAAGAGAGAGAAGTTTAAGTCACTTTACATTTTTTTCATTCACTATTATAAAATCATCATCATTTAAACACATATTCCTTACTGACTCTTTCTGAGATAGATATTTAATTGCAAACTTATCAAAACATAATCAAGTAAGATACAAGGAGAACTCTAGATCATTTTAGTGAAAGCGTGCCTTAGTCTTGAAGACTTTGTTAATGTTGTTATCAATCTGTATGTTATTTTTGTGCAAGGAAACATTACAAGGAAAATGTTATAAATACTCGCCTTAAAGCCATTTTCACAATAGTAGTGATTTTTATGTTACTTCACATTAACTTTTAAAATAAAAATTATGTTTCATAGTAAAAATCAGTCAAGAATGTAATAAATCTGTATAATTTTCAATTAAATTCTTTTTTCAAAACACATAAAATCTTATTTGATATGCTTCACTTAGAATTTTTTTCCCCATAATTTTTTAATTTTAAAAGTTATAGGTAATGAAAAAGATGAAGATAAAGAATAGTGATCAATCTCAAAAACTAAAATCTGTACAAATAATTCCAGAGGTAGGATCAGGTGCTTAGGAGGAGTGAGCATCCCCTGCTGATCAGTCACATCCACTGTTAGCCCTGTGTATTAATCAGATAAATGGAATATTCTGTAGTCAAATTTAGTTTAAAGACAAAGCCTAACAATTCACGTGAAACATGTCAGCCAAAATCTGACCCATTGATAGGTTATGTTTGCTAACGAAGTCATTATAACGACCATAGTATTTAAAAAATGCTGACTTAAAACGGGCCTGTTGAAATCCCTGTACCATCAACTTATCTCTCAGTAACTGGCCTTAGTTTAAAAATTGATCATTCTCAGAACATGCTCATAAGTTGGGAGATGTAAACACCATATACAGGTGATAGTAAAATATTATTACATGAATAAGGAAAGCAGACAATGGAAAAGCTGAAGTTATCTCGTTTGTCATACAATTTAGTTGTTAGTGTGCCTTTACCATCTCTAGACAGTAAAACATCAAAATATGAAAATGGGTGTGGCAGACTCTGTGGTGTCTTTTATTTTGAGTTTGGGCTATATTGAGTCAATATATAAATGGAAGAAACTATTGTTAATTGATAAAACATCGTCAGTATATCTGAATATCGAGTTGAAGGACATTTTAGCAAGTGTTTATTCTTCTCATTTAGAAGTTTTTGAATAAATTCTGCTTCATAGGAATATAAAAACAAGTCAGATATTATAATAAAGGAGCACAATTAGTTCCCAACAAAATTCCAACAATTTGCTGAAAGACCTGGTCTCCAAAGACTACATAAAGGGTAAAAAAAAGGGTATTTAAGTTGTAAAAGTGGATAAAAATGGGTATACAATGTATTAGTTTATAAACTGTGGTTAGTATCAAATTCTGGTTTTCAAAACTTCTTAATTCTCTCTCTCTCTCTCTCTCTCTCCCCCCCCCCCAATTTCATCAAATTGTCTTTTACATTTCCCAATTTTAAAAAAAAAGGGCATTTCCCAAGATAGGCTGAGACATATAGAGTACTTTGTCTACACTGTAGCTCCAAACCACACTACACATTTAAGCAGACTAACACAGGAAAACATGGTCAAGAAAACTTGAATAACTCGCATTTAACCTGGAACCACATCCAGAAATCAGCAATGACATTACTATTCCTTAATAATAACTCAATAGATTTAACCCACAAGAAGAAATTGTTGTGTGGACATAGAGGATATTCAATGTTTTGTAGTTGGATATGGAATTTATGTCACAAGTGGGACAGGATTTTTTTTTATGTTTTCATGAATGCGAGGCCCAAGTGAAAATATCAAAAAGACCTGTCTCATGAGTGAAATAAATTCCATATTCAACAAAATATTGAATTTTCTGTTTATGACATTTTCTTTTATTTTCTCTTTGCCTCTGTCTTTTCATAAGACAGTGTCATTTCTGTGACATCATAGTTGAGCAGTTGAGACACCATTGGCTATTGTGGGACTGAAAACATTGTAAACATGGATTTCAACAACACATCTGGAGAAACTTTGGCAGTTTTAGTCTCTTTCAGGATAGTTTATTTACTTTATCTTATAACAGGCCAGGAAGAATTTTTTACAACACTCTTTTTTTAAGGGAAAAAAAGTCACCAGTTTAACTACATATCTGATTTTCTTTCACAATGTGACAAAATAGCACTTTTATTCAATATATAGCTAAGTCTAGTTAATAGTTACACTAATGTGATAAATATTGAATTGTTAAAGATTGAATTTTCTGTTTATTACATTTTCTTTGATTTTCCTTTTGCCTCTGTCTTTTTTTAGACAGTGTCATAGGCTGTGATGTTATAATTGAGCGGTTTAGACGTCATAGCTAAGCGATTGCAAGATTGAAAAACGTTGTAAACATGGATTTTTACCAACATATTTTGAGAAACTTTGGCAGTATTACATGTAGTCTCTGTTAGGATGGTTTATTTACTCTATCTTACAACAAACCAGGGAGGTTTTTTTAAACAATCTTCTTGAAAGGAAGAAAAATCAAGAATTGTGCCTCACTTCTAAAATTCTCTCACACTGTGAGAATACCATTTTGATATCCTTTCAAACTGTGACTGAATATCACTTTTGCTCAATAAATAGCAGTATTTCACTGTTGAAAATTATGTAATAAATACTGTAAATTGCAGTGTGGGTAAAGTTGATCAGTGTCAACTAATTAAGCGTGGATTTGTCCTGAATGTGCTAATAGGGACCTTTAAGCTTGTAAAGTGTGACAATAAGGCATTTCTAAGCTTGTTAATTGTTGATTTTATAATTATTTAGTTTTTTTTTTTCAGAAGGTACCCGCCAGCACGTGATGATTGCCATCCAATTACATTTGACTTGAGAAATTTTAGTTGCTATGTTTCATGTACAAGTGTGACAGTGATCAGAGATGTGTACTTTTTAAATAAAGTAATTTCAGTCATCAGTGTTAACTGTATATGTACAAAAAAAAAATTTAAATTGAGGCAGACTATTGACAAATAAGTTGATGATACAAGGATATCAACAATCTCGTGTAAAGTCAACATTTCACAAATTCGATGGTCGAAGCAATTATCTTAATTGCAAAAACAATTTGTCATTGGGTAGAATGTTGACTGAATTTTTTTCATACAGATTGTTAGGCGATTACTTTCACACTGAATTGTCTATGGAGTTTTCTTTTTACCCGATCATGACAAAGAGCATAGTGTGACCGGTCAACAGGGGATGCTTACTCCTCCATGGCACTTAATATCTAAATGTCGAATTGAAACTTACAGCAAGAGACTTTATTTTCATGGATAAGTTTTTGAATAAATACTACTTCTTATGAATACAAAAATACGTCTGCTTATAAAAGGGCGCAATTAGTATCTATCGGAATTCCAACAGGTTGTTGGAAGACCTGATTTCCAAAAACTACAAGAATCTTGTCAGAAACTCAAGCATCTTTTAAATATCAACTTCGGAGTACTTTTGTGTAGAATGAGAATGTTTTTAAACAAAATAAGTCGTACGTTTTGATGCTTTTGATTTTGGTAAAAGAAGATGGGCGTATTTGGCGTGTGATCTGCAGGAATCTTTTGTACGAAACATAATTTAAATGTCCACTTTTACATGTCGGTCTGCTGTCTACAGTTGGACAAAGGTTAAAAATTGTAATATTTAAGTCAGCTATCTTCTAAGATAATAGATTATACAGTATAGTTATGTAACAGGAAAGAAGAAAATGTATGGCTGAACCGGTAATCGAACCTGGGACCCTGGCTTCACTGCCAAATGCTCTACCAACAGCCGTCCGCGACCCAAATCATTACATTCCTCCCTCCTTATATATTATTTGCCCTTGAAGAAAAACTCAATATGTTATCGCCCCTGGCAGGACTTTCACCTGCAAGTCCAGGGATGGTCAATGGTACCAAATTATGTAACAGGAAGGGAAAAATATATGGCTGGACTGGGAATCGAACCCAGGATCAGTGCATCATACCCAGGTGTTCTACCAACTGAGCTATCCACGGTCCAAACCATTACAGTTAAATGTTTCAGTAGGTTTAAAGAATTACTTTCGCTCTCGGTGCGACTGAGTCAAAATTTATCTATTTAAATGACATATGGATACGGAAGCGTATAGTTTTGAACTTAATTTCTTATTATGTTCCCCAAACGAAGTTTGGGAACATATTGTTTTTACTCTGTTTCTTATTATTATTATTAAGTCTTCCGTTCACAACGGAAGACTTATAGTGATTGTATTGTTTCTTTTTATTAAGTCTTCCGTTCACAACGGAAGACTTATAGTGATTGTATTGTTTCTTTTTATTAAGTCTTCCGTTTACAACGGAAGACTTATAGTGATTGTATTGTTTCTTTTTATTATTATTAAGTCTTCCGTTCACAACGGAAGACTTATAGTGTTTGTATTGTTTCTTTTTATTATTATTATTATAATTATTATTATTATTCCTCCCAAATTTTGTGAGCGCCATTACTCAGAGATGGTTGGATAGATTTTCACAATTTTTCACACGATAGTAGGCTGATATATGAAGTTTTTATAAAATTCCGTTTTTTGAAAAATTCACTTCCGGTCCGAAGTTATGGCCGAATTTCCAATTTTAAAATGGACTTTTGTCCGGTGTTTTTCTCAGAAACGGTTTGAGGTAAAGATGTGAAATTTACAGGAATATTAGATCATGACATTCTCTTTGTTTCGAAGTTGTTTTCGTGTGTTTCCGGTACTTCTTGTCCGAACCGGAAGTGAACTTGTGTTAGGTCAATTTTTAACTTTTTTGTATTTTAATATTTTTTCAAGATATTATTATGTATAACAGAGGTTCTTCTACAAATACTAAATATATAATTTGTTTTGAAATCAGATTCCACATTTTGTAGATTTTCGGTACCGTCATTTTCCCTATTTACCTAGTGTGTATACAGTGGGCAAAGAAAGATAACTCTGACTTGTAAGTGAGAATAGAACTTTCGAGATAAAGGCGGAAATAGTATCGATGACGTCAGAGACATATACACTCTCCATATCAAAATATTTAGACGTTCCATATTCAATCTTCTAAATGTAAGAGTACGTTGATTACCGCTTCCAGTGCATGTAAAGTTTGAAGTTGCCAGTGGAGTGTAAGTCTGTTTTGACAGTTAATTGATTTACACATGAATATATCTAAAACAAAAATTAATATATATGCTAGCTATAGGTAGCTAATTCAATTAAATATATTATAAGCACTGAATATACATTTATAGTGATGGACAGGCATGCAATTTTATCTATCTCGTATACTAATTTCAGAATACGATAGTTATAAGCTTTCTATAATGCAGACGATTTATTATTCTCTATGATTTGAATGCGAAATTATCCCGATTTCCGAGTTTTATTTCCTATATTAAAAAATATTACATACACTCAAAAAAGAATTAAGCGATAGAAAATTGTAATACAGTACTGTTTTAAAGCCTTTATAAATAAATTGATATCTGCCACTGAAAAGAAAGAAAATCAATCTATAGATTAGATTTGGTTATTACATGTATATTTGATAAAAAGTTGAATTATTTATGACACATGATCTATACTCTATATACCCAAGGAGTTATAAAAGATGTGAAAGGCGATTCTTGGATTCTTGTGAAATACTCAAAGAGTTAAAAAAATATGTGAAAACGCGATTCTGTGTGAAATAATGCTTCGCAATATCTTTCTTTTGAAAAAAAAACATGATAAAAAATTGCACAGGTCTGTTGATATGTGGGATGAGTATACCTGAATGAACACAATTTTATGCAATTATATATAATTATGTACATTGTACATGCAACTGACCTGTACTTTTCCTTATAATTCATAAAACATAAAACTATCTAATTCCTTTGAAGCCGCCCCCGCCCCGCCCCCCCCCCCCCCCCCTCGGTTTTGATTAATATGTGGAGATGTTAGTGCAGCTAGGCATTTGAATTATATAATCGTTTTAGATTTAAATCTGGAACATGTGGTTATAAATACATTTACATGTATACAGAATTTCATATTCTATAATGGTAGATTTGTCATTATGATACTGAAATGTTCAATTTACATGTCTGAGAGAGAGAGAGAGAGAGAGAGATTCCCTCTTAATCCCGATCCTCCTTTCCATTTACATAGACCAAAAAATAGTTCTATATCAGTGACACCCATTCTTTATTAAATGTTTTTTGATTTCATAGTCAGTCATGGTCACATCCTGTATATTTTTCTGCTTAAAAAGTATTACACGAAGTGCACGTGTGTTGACCTGTCAATCAAAATAACCTGACGCTATATGCACTGCAAAAAAGTAGCCTGAGTTCGAAATGATCTTGAAGTATGATCTTTAAGTACATCTGATGCAACAAACTTGTGAAAAAATAAAATAAAATAAAATATCGCGGTATAATAAACTTCGATTGTGGGACGTGGAGACCGGTCCTTGGGATGAGATCGTATAAATCGAGGTCCCGTGTCGCAGAAGGTGCTGGCACAAAAAAGATTATTCACTGCTCAATGGTGATAATTGCCAAAGTATAAGTATACTCCGGCGAGCGGTGGCGTCTCCATGTGAGTGAAAACTTCTCGACAGGGACGTAAACAACATATAATAAATCAATCAATTAATCGATTGCTTAATAATTACTGTTATTGAATAATCTTTCTTATAGGTATGCTGTCAAATCTTGATAGCTGATAGTACGGTGTTCATTCGTCTGTTTGTCTTAGAAATGATTGCAAACAATTTTTTTAAATTGCTAATCATCCTTGCTCTATGATATACGTATATCTCTCATAGGTGCCAAATGCATTACACAAGATTGATCATGAAAATCAAAGTACCATAAGTACTGAAAGGACTTTTTTTCAGTTATTTTTTCTTTCACAGTTAATATGATATGTATGTTTTTGACACAGAAAAAAGCAAATTCTTACAGATTTAGAAGAACGGAAGACTTTTTTGTTGCCATGGCAACAAGAGTCTAGTTATTATTATTATTATTCCTCCCAAATTTTGTGAGCGCGATTACTCAGAGATGGTTGGATAGATTTTCACAATTTTTCACATGATAGTAGGCTGATATATGTAGTTTATATAAAATTCCGTTTTTTGAAAAATTCACTTCCGGTCCGAAGTTACGGCCGAATTTCCAATTTTTAAATGGACTTTTGTCCGGAATTTTTCTTGGAAACGGTTTGAGGTAAAGATGTGAAATTTACAGGGGTATTAGATCATGACATTCTCTTTGTTTCGAAGTTGTTTTCGTGTGTTTCCGGTACTTCCTGTCCGAACCGGAAGTGAACTTGTGTTTGGTCAATTTTCAACTTTTTTGTTTTTTAATATTTTTTCAAGATATTATTATGTATAACAGAGGTTATTCTACAAATACTAAATATATAATTTGTTTTGAAATCAGATTCCACATTTTGCAGATTTTCGGTACCCTCATTTTCCCTATTTACCCTCTGTGTAGACAATGGGCAAAGAAAGATAACTCTGACTTGTAAGTGAGAAAAGAACTTTCGAGATAAAGGCGGAAATAGTATCGATGACGTTAGAGACATATACACTCTCCATATCAAAATATTTAGACGTTCTATATTCACTCTTCAAAATTTAAGAGGACGTTGGTTACCGCTTCCAGTGCATGTAAAGTTTGAAGTTGCCAGTGTAGTGTAAGTCTGTATTGACAGTTAGTTAATTTACACATGAATATATCTAAAAAAAATTAATATATATATATGCTAGGTAGCTAATTCAAGTAAATATATTATAAGCACTGAATATACATTTATAGTGATGGACAGGCATGCAGTTTTATCTATTTCGTATATTAAGTTCAGAATACGATAGTTATAAGCCTTCTATAATGCAAACGATTTATTATTCTCTATGATCTGAATGCGAAATT